CAGGAGGTATCTTCAACACAACCCCTCTCTATAACTTACACAGAGAAAAGCTATTTAACAAATTAAATTGAGAGTGTTTAATATAAAGCCTGAAACTCTGATACTTAAGAAGTGTATTTGCTACATGTGAACAACAAATCCAATATCTTTTATGGTGTTTACTTAAAATATTGGTATATAAATCTTTCTTTCGCTTTGGAGAGAAGGTCTGTCAGGAATTAACCTTACCACCCATTTTATTGATATGGTAAATTACCTTCTAAACAATGTCTTAGAACTTGAGCTGGCTTTTTTAAGTCATATTGGACCAACATATCTTAAAGGGAGAGGATTTGCAGACGACAATACGATGGACGGTATATCACCAATTCCAGAAATGTTGAGGTATTTAGACTGAGCGGCACTATTCCCAATCAACTTAACATTCTCCCTAAGTTTAAAGGATAATCCAGATGTGGACCCCTTGCTCATGGTGTCTAGAGGTGTATCTGCTATACCTCACTGATGAGGCCTAACAAGCCCGAAATGATCATCTGGGGTTGCTGAATGTCTCGTGCAGAGATAGCTGGCCTGCATTTCAGATCTTAACCGCAGTTTTGGGTGGGCCCACTCTGGTTTGGAAATTACCTAAATTTCCTTTGTAATGGTTTGGGATCTGAGCAGGGATCACCGAAGGCAAGCTCCTTGACTCCATTTTCAGTATTCTTCAGCACCCTGTTTTTTTTTTTGTTTTTTTTGCTCTAACAATAAATAGCATTTCAAGCAACTAAAAGGTTTAAGCTAAGCATCAAGACCACTTCAGTGATTTTAAGTTGTCCTGGTACCTTTAGTCTGAATGTTCAGCATTTCGCTATGAAATCCCTCTGCTGCCGGAGAATAACCCCGCCTTAGGCAGCATCATTGGGATGGAACTACAGTTCCGGGCTTGTTTACGTCAATTCTGTGCATAATTCTATGCACATAGTTGCATTCATTGGCTCAACAGCAGAAGCCAGATTCACATCACAGCCAGCAAGAGAGGACCATCAGTGCCTGACAGGACCAAGTTAGAGGGCAAATCTTTGCAAAATGATTAACCCCATTATTTGGGAATGGGGTCATTGTATTCCTTTAATCATAAGTAGTATAGAGAGCTGTAGTGTACATGCAGTATGATCTGCAACTCTTTAAATTTAATAGAATTGCATTTTTATTAAATACAGTGCCCCATAGTAAGCAGTGTCCCTGAATGTCCTCTCCCTTAGGCACTAGATCAAATAAAATACTTGGCAATTATGTCACGTAAGGAACTATCTAGCCTGTATACAGTTTATTTTCAAAACCATCAATACCCCCTTGTTCTAAATGGGACAAGCTATATCACTTGCTTTCTTTTTCAATTGTTAAACTCAATTCAAGTTCTTCCTGTTTTCATAAAACTCACTTATACAAAGTTCTCATTCATTCCAAACGTTGGTATTATTTCTTACCATGTACTGCAGACATCTACTATGGGGGATAGTTTAACTAAACTGCACCAGTTTTGCTACAATAAAGAAAAAGGCCTAGTTGGGAAGGAGTGTCTTACATAGTTACATAGTTACATAGCTGAAAAGAGACTTGCGTCCATCAAGTTCAACCTTTCTCACATATGTTTTTGCTGTTGATCCAAAGGAAGGCAAAAAAACCCCAGTCTGTAGCTCTTCCAATTTTGCCAAAAATTAGGAAATAATTCCTTCTTGACCCCAAAATGGCAGTCAGATATCTCCTTGGATCAAGCAGCTATTACCCCACTAATTAGAAATTATATCCCTGTATGTTATGTTTTTGAAAATATTTATCCAATTGCTGTTTAAACAACTGTATGGACTCTGATAAAACCACCTCTCCAACTCTTCAGGCAGATAATTCCATATCCTTATTGCTCTTACTGTAAAAAAAAAAAAAAACTTTTCTTTGCCTTAGATGAAATCTCCCTTCTTCCAGCCTAAATGTGTGGCCTGGTGTCCTATGTGTAGCACCGTTTATGAATAGATTTCCAGATAATGATTTGTACTGGCCCCGAATGTATTTGTATAATGTTATCATATCTCCTCTGAGGCACTGTTTTTCCAAACTAAAGAGATTTACATTTTTTAACCTTTCTTCGTAATTAAAATGCTCTGTTCCTTTTATCAATTTTGTAGCCCGTCTCTGCACTTTTTCTAGTGCCATGATATCCTTCTTTAGAACAGGTTCCCAAATTGCACAGCATATTTAAGGTATGGTCTTAACAGGAATTTATAAAGAGGCAAAATTATATTTTCATCCCAAGAATTTATGCCCCTATTTATACATGACAAAACCTTACTGGCCTTAGCAACTGCAGATTGACATTGCATATTGCTGCCTAATTTGTTGTCTATAACAATTCCCAAATCATTCTCGTTTGTGGTTATCCCTTATTCACTACCATTTAGGGAGTAAGTTGCTTGTGCATTCTTGACCCCAAAGTGCATATTTGCTTTTTTCTACATTAAATTTCATCTGCCATTTTAGTGCCCAGTCCCCCAATATATCTAAATCCCTCTGCAGCAAAGCAATATCCTGCTCACATTTTATTACTTTACAAAGTAATCATCTTGAAAAATATTTTTCTTTTCCTCACAAGCTGTTAGAAGTTGTTATGCGAGAAGGTAATGTTTTGATCAGACCTTACTAGATCTGAAGTGTCATATTGTCTGGTAGCCTATGCAGATCTCTGAATTGAGTTGAAAATAGATAAGTAATTAAACAGTAATCTATGAGGAGTGGGTCCATTGCCTTTGGGTTTACACCCTGTGTTAGCTAACACTTCGTGGAGAATGTACGTACTAGGAATAGGGTTAGAAGTTGGAAATAATCTGACTCTAAGTTCCAACAGTGGTTGGAGTCCAACATCCACTTGGATTTTGAATGAAAGAGATGGACCTTTGGTCCCAAATATGTGCATATGAGGTTCTGGCAAATACAGAGTGGAGGGATCAGTGTGCCTTTCTGAGGACCTTTTCTTAGTGGCAGTACCAGAACAGAGTATCATCATTTTTGCTCCAGTATTTTTGTGTCTATTGCTTTGGTTCCCACATGGATAAGGACCTGCTTTTGTTGATAGGCCACAAGTGAGAGATAGGTTCACTTAAGTTGGCTCATTGGTTTCTCCTGGCATTGCAGGAGAAATTTGATAAGGATTTAGATTGAATCCCATGGCAGCACATTTCACAAGGCACACTGGTTTGGATGCAGTTGGATTGTAATTTAAAGTTTGAAGTTTTGCCTTACAAGGCTTTCTTCCCTTTGGCTTAATTTGTGGCACTGAAAACTAGTGAGCTGGCAGCTGAGTCCTTTTCTACAGTTGATACATATTTGTTTTGGGACCATGTGCAGTAATGAAAAAAAAGGAAAATGTATTTATACTTGCCATAATTTTCTTTTCCTGGTCATAGGCCATGACAGCACAACAATGGGTAGCTCCTCCCTATCCCTAACCAGACAGGAACCTAATTGAAACAAAAGGTATAAATAATCCCTCCTACTCCTCCCACCCTCAGTCTTGTTTCCAGCAATATCCCAGGGCGGGATCTTTGTGCTGCCATGGCCTATGACCAGGAAAAGAAAATTACAGTAAGTAGGAATACATTTTCCTTTTTCCTGGCCATATCCATGGCAGCACAACAATGGGTAATACCCAAGCAATAACCAAGGGAGGGAATAAAGAAAAACTCAGACTCCAAATTATATAATGCAAGTGTATTAGCACAATCAAACCAAAACATGACAATCACTGCAAATAAGTGGTAGAAAGAGGATCCAGGCACTCCAAGTATCTTCAATTTTATTTATTAGGATAAGTGAGACACCGCAACGTTTTGATCCTTGAAATGATCTTTGTCAAGGCTGGTGCTGGCCCTTGGTCCGGTTTAGCAACGGGATCTTCACATGATTAGAGTGCAGGTTCGTTTTTTCTCTTTTTTTTTTTCTCTTTTTGCAATCACTGCAAATAAATCTAACTTATCAGTTAGATGCGGAAAGGACAGTTCTGCCAAATTGATCAAATTGACCATCCTTTACATTTATTCAAAAATGGCTTGAAGATGACCAAGTAGCTGCTTTACAAATTAGTTCTGGAGATACTTTTGCTGCTGCCGCCCAGGATGAAGAGTGGGATCATGTAGAGTGTGCTTTTAGACCTTCAGGGATCCATGTCTTAGATGCGTTATAGGGTTTGATGATAGCTGAGACTATCCATCTACTTACGGCTACTTTAGATGCTTGAAGGCCTCTTCTAATACCATTAGGTATGACAAAAAGTCTTTGAGAGATTCGCCATTCTAAATTTCTTTGTAAATACATTTTCAGGCATCACACTAAAACAACAGAGTCCCAGTTTGTTTCTTCTTCATTGTTTCGTTCCTCTGAATGCAATGTTGGGAGCACTATTTCTTCATTTATATGGAATGCTGAAGTCACCTTAGGGCTGAATTCAGGAACTGTCTTTAATATTACTATGTCATTATAGAATATTGTGAAAGGTTCCTTAGCAGATAAAGCATGAAGTTCCGATAACCTTCATCCAAAGGCTAAGCCCACTAGTAGAACTCATTTAATAGTGAGCAGATGAGCAGAAATAGACTCCAATGGCTCAAACGGATCAGATGTAAGTGCTTTCAGAATCAGCAGAAAATCCCATGGTGGAGCAATAGGTTTGATAGGTGGCTTGATCTTTAGGACTGCTGTCATAAATCTGGCTATATCCATGTCAAAAGCCCATTTATGGTTGGTAAGAGCTGAAAGGGCTGAAATATGGACTTTTTAAAGTATTATAACTTAACCCTTTGTCTAAGCCGGATTATAGAAACTCCAGAATATCTTTGGTTGATGGTTTCTGAATATTTATTTGTCTAGATATCGATCATGAAGAAAATCCATCCCAGAATTTGTAATATGTGGCTGAAGTAGACTTTCTTCTTGCCTGTAAGAGTTTATCAATCACTGCTTGTGAAAAACCCTTTTCTCTTAACCTATCCCTTTCAAATATCACGCCATCAGATGGAGGGATGCTGGATCTGGGTGAAGAACTGGACCTTGCTCCAATAGAAATGGAACTTCTGGTAGGTGCCATGGGTCTTTCTTACAGATACTCAGTAGGAGCAGAAACCATGGTCTGTGTGGCCGGAATGGAGCTATTAGTATGATTTAAACTTTCTCTTGCCTTAACTTCCTTAGCAGGGGAAAGATGAGTGGAGTTAGAGGGAATGCATATGCTAGCTTGAATTCTATTTGCATGACAATGCAAATCTTCCTATAATCTGTGGGTCCAGACTTTTCAAGAAGAACTCCTTCGCCTTCCTGTTGCTGCTTGTTGCAATCAAGTCTATTTGAGTAAGGCCCCATTTCTCAGCAATCATCTGGAATATCCTGTATGATATCCTGGATCTATTTTCACTCTGTTGAGGAAGTTGGCTACAGAATGTTGTATTCCTGGAAGATGTTGTAATGCCTGCCAGATTTTGCTTGTGCCCAAGTCATAAGAGGTCTCATTATTTTCATCATTCTGCGACTCAGAGTTCCTCCTTGGTGGTTGATATATGCTATCACCGTGGCATTGTCTGTCCTGATCTTGACCCATTTGTGAAGTAGAAGCTGTTAGAAGTGTTTCAGGGCTTTGAAAACTGCAAGAAGTTCTAGGAGATTTGAAGGTGTATTTGCTGTAAAGAAAGTCCATTTTCCTTGGATGTATTTGTGCTGAAGATGCGCTCCCCATCCCCATTGGCTGGCATCTGTAGTTATAACAATACACTGAATGTTTCCTAGGAGAAATCCTTTGAATAGGAATTTCTTCTGCATCCACCACATCAAGGATTGGTGAATCTGAGGAGGAAATCTGATTGGTTGATACAGGTTCCCTGATTTGAATTGGCTAAGAAAAATGTCTTGGAAAGTTTTCATTCTACATTGTGCCCATCTTGTTAGGCCTATAGCGGAGGACATGGAGCTTAGTAGACTCATAGTCTTTTCTGCTGAGGTTACACTGGATGCCAACATGTCTTTGACTTTCCTTATTATTCTTGTACTTCTTTCTGGCAGCTGTTCCGTGCCTATGGAAGTGTTGAACAAGGCTCCCAGGTATATCATGTTCTGAGATGGAGTCAGTTGACTCTTGGTTATGTTGATTTACCAACCATGATGCTGAAGGAACTGCTGACATATTATAGTTTTTGTTTTCTGCCAGAACTAAGATGTTGTCTAGATAATTATAAATGCCTATGCCTTTTTTCCTGAGCTCTGCTATTAAAACTTCTAGAACCTTGGAGAATGTACGTGAAACTGTACTTAGACCAAATTTAACGGCACGGAATTGGAAGTGACCTTCTTCCACTGCGAATCTAAAATATATATGATGTTGCTGAGCGATGGTAATATGGATATAAGCATCTGCCAAGTCTACTCATATTAGCCACTTGCCTGAGAATACTGCCTTTCTGATAGATTGTGAGCTGCCAATATGGAGAAGAGAATAACCTTGTCCAGGATGAAATCTTCTTGCCACTTCCTGCTACCTCTCGCTGTAGGGAATAAGTGTATTTGCATTTTTTTTCTTACTACCCCTAGGGTCAGAGTAAGTAAACTAAGGAGTCCCTAAGGAGGTTCTTTGCGCAGGGCCGTGTACTGACGCTCCCAAGGAAGAGAGGCTGAACTCCCTTGGGGACAGAAGGTAAAGACCCTCAGGTTAGCCAAAAAGAAAATTAATTTAGTCCTGAAATAGACTAAGTTGCTCCTATAGGGATAGGACAGGAATAAAAAGACTTGGGGAGAAGGAGGTAGGATGGGGTATTTATACCTTTCTTTGAATTAGTTCCTGTCTAATTAGGGATAGGGAGGAGCTACCCATTGTTGTGCTGCCATGGATATGGCCAGGAAAATATATATTTTTGGGAGCAATTCTTCCCTTTAGTCCGTAGTACCTTCCCTCCAAAAAACATTCTTCTGGTAGGTCGAGAAGGTAGGCAAAACAATTTAGTGACCGACCACAGCGATGTAAAGTGGCCGTGGTGTAGTTCCATGAATTGTTTTGGCCAAGTGCCACTGGGAACCTTTCGGCACTTTGAGCGCGAATGCCATACAGGGAACTGGATCATTCAGTAGTTACATTTGGTGGAAGGGGAGGCACTGAACCAGGGGTGATTATAGTTCCTTTGGTAAAAAGATAGTGGAATGTAGAACAGAGTCCGCCACACAGCTCCTTCTTAACCACAAGCAGGCATACACAGTCTGATCCCAACAGATCGGCTTGGGAATGTCCAGGGGTACTCAAGGATCACTCTTCCAGTTCAGTCTGTTATGAAAACCCATCGGCATTGCCGCTTTGCTTCCCAGGTTGTACTTTATGATAAAGTTGTATGGCTGCAGCGCCAAACTCAATCGCAGCAGCCGGGCATTGTCCCCCGCCACTCAGTTTAGCCATACCAACGGGTTGTGATCTGTGAGTAAGGTGAAGGTCACACCACCGCAAGGCACTCTTTCTTGATGGCGGTGTAGCTCGCCTCACTGGGCAGGAGTTTCGTGCTCAGGTAAGCTACGGGATGTTCTTCACCATCTTCTCCAACCTGGCTTAGTACTACTCCCAATCCAAACATTGAAGCGTCTGTGTGGCAAGCAATTGTTCAGATGGATTGGGAGCAGCCAGGACAGGGGCATGTACAAGAGCCTGTTTTAGTTGTTGGAATGCCTGCTCACACGCCAGGGCCCACACTACCTGCCAGGGTAAATTCTTATGGGTCAAATCAGTGAGGGGTTTAGCACTGTAATTCAGAACAAACTTCCGGTAATACCCTGTGGTCCCTAGGAACGCCATAACCCGAGTTTTGGTTTGGGGGATGGGCCACTGAGCTACTGCCTTGACCTTGACTGGTTCGGGTTTTTTCTCACCCGGTGTCCCAGATACTGTATTTCAGCCATCCCGATGTGGAACTTACTGGGTTTGAGGGTCAAGCCTGCTAAGGACCAAATGCTCTTCCCACATATTGCTGAAAATTGCAATGTCATCCAGGCATGCACTGGTAAAGTCTTGGAGGCCATCTAAGGGCTGATCTACCATCCTCTGAAATGTAGCCGAGGTGTTTTTCAACCCGACCGGCATTACCTTGAACTGGTATAAGCCGAACGGGGTGACAAAGGCCAACTTAGGTATGGCATCCTCGGCTAGGGCAATTTGCCATTGCCCCTTACACAAATTTATCGTGGTGAGGTACTGACTTTGAGCCATCCTGTCTAGGAGGTCATCTATACGAGGCATAGGGCAGGGGTCAGACACTCTCTAGTGCTTGGCATAAGGCTATCCTAGCATAAGATAAGGCTAGGCACTGAATAGTTCTTATATGCCATCACATTCTATGTTTATGTTTCTTGTGAACCTGATCGTCCTTCCCTAGGAGGTCAGGTAGGGGAAGGTTCTCAAATTCTTCGGAGGCAGGGACTCAGATTGCCACCACATCCTCCGTTCCCTCATGGTAGTGTTTGAGCATGTTCACATGGAGCATGTGTCTTCCCCTGCACCAGAGCAAGGACCCACCACATAGGTGGTATCGCATTTTTTCTCTGCCTTCTGGTCTGGGCCCTGCCATGTGGACAGGTTTCAAAACCAAAATTTTTGTTCTATTTGAAAGCTGTGGCCCCATGCTCCGTTATCATATCATGTGCGGTGGCGACTCTGGGCTGCCTGGAGGTTACTTCAAACCTGGGTTAGCTCCTGCAAGCAGTCGCAGAATTCCAGCACATAGGGGTACCATCCTGGCTAAGGTCTCCCTCCCAGTGCGCCTTAATCAAGTCTAATGGCCCCCTAATCCACCTCCCCAACAACAGCTCGAATGGAGAGAAACCTGTAGATTTCTGCAGCACCTCCCAGTATGCAAACAGGAGGTACGGCTAGAATCTCTCCCAGTCTCGGCTGGTGGACGGGAATGTTCAGAGTATTTTTTTTAAGGTTTCATTGAACCGTTCGCCTAGGCCATTGGTTGGTGAAAGGGGGAGCTCAGAATGCCACAGAGCTTTCAGAGTTGGTAGGTGACTTCTGCGGTAAACTGGGTGCCCTGATCCAATATCCAATATCTATCAGGGATAACCCATTCAAGAGAAGATTCGCATCAGGGCTACCGTCTCGGCATGAATGGTACCCAGCGCCTCTGGGTACCTGGTCGAGGTAGTCGACTATGATCAAGATATATTTATTGCTGGAAGGACTAGGCTTAGCCAGAGATCCTACCAGGTCTACGACCATCCGGCCGAACGGCTCCTCTATAATGGGGAAAGAGTGAAGTTTTACCTTGTGGTGGTCGTCCCTTTTTCCTACTCTCTGGCAGACATTGCACATTTGGCAATACTGCTGAATGTCTTTAGAGATCCCTGACCAGACAATGGGATGTCATATCTGAATCTCTGTTCAATAAACCCTGGTGCCAGGAGTACCTGTCTCCTTCTAACCCAGCTTGACTATTGGTGACCCGATCCCTATATACCTGTATTGTGAGGTTGCTAGCTACCTCCTTCCCAAACTTAGCAGGGGCATCCCAAGTAAGGGCAATTGTGAGGTAGCTAGCAACCTCACAATTGCCTACCTGAGCCTCAGAGTGTGAGCAAAACAATTTGTGGTGCAAGCCTGCTGCCAGGTAGATATGTTTCCTCTGTCATTGGTTGGGAAAGGAATGCAGAGGTCAACTGGCCCAGATCACTCGGCACCCCAATGTAAATGGACCTTCGCTGTTGGTAGGCGATAGACTGCTTTCCCTGCGACTCGTACGGCTACCGAACTTCACATTCGGTCAGAATCTTGAACCAAGTGTCTTTTTACGAGTGTTAGTGTCTCTGAACTCTTGTGCTGGTTACCTATTAAGGCAGACGGATTGTCATGTTGTTGATGGTTGTCTGCTGCTGCTTGGATGGTTTCATGTAGACTACCTGTAACAGACCGTTTTGCACACAAGGGGTAAAAACCGTTTAGGCGATCATCCCCCTTTCCAGAGATACAGGCACAGCTATTGTAGAACACCAAACACATGAACCGCCAATAAGTGAATGCTCCAAACTCCCGAACGGCATCCAATATAGCACTCCAAACACACGAACAGGAACCATACGAATCGCTACTAGCAGACGAATAGGAAAAGCATCCAAGCGGCTTACACTCCTAGCAATCAGTCTCTATAAGCATTCAGTAAATCCCCCCCAAAGACGAGACAAGCTCCGTGTT